AAAGTTATTCAGGTGGTCACTTGTTGAATTCCTATATTTTGGAACCATGTATTTCTTTTTCATATCAAGAAAAGGAAACCTAAAAAAAAATAACAATAAACTTTACAAAGATGTGATATTAAAATAATAATAAGTAATTAACCTTTACTATAATCATTATGAGACGAATGAAGACGAACTTAGCTGGAGTTTACTTGCTCTTAATTTTAATAAGAAAATAAAAAAATTTTAATTGCAAATTAAAGGTGATTGCCTAATGCACCGCCTCTGATAATTAGGTTGTGTCTGTACTTACTTATGATATTATCTTGAAGAAGCATTTTCAACAGGCCTTTTACACATAAAGCATATTTTCACCATATTATTAGAGATAATAAATCTTAAATATACATTTACAACCCTTACAACGTTATAAATAATAATATTTTCCGTAAAATACAAATAAGAAATTGACATGTGTCAGAAAGTGTCAGAACTGGCGCTCACAGAACACTTCTGGCGCTGTCAAACTTGGCAACGCTGATTAAATAAACCAATTACAGAAGAGGTATTTTCCCCCTCGGGGGGAGTAGATGTTGCTAACAAAATTTAGCGCGGGGAAGGGGGGAAGACTCCCTCTAGTAGTAATTGCTCGGAGATTAGAATAATCAAAATATGCTTTTGACATCTGTAAATAGTATTGAAAATGAATAGTTTTGCAACAGGTCAGGGAAGCTTTGGCAGCTCCGTAGCTGCCAAAATATTCATTTTAGCGCTTTGTGCCCATGAAGACTTTTGTTCAGGATGACAGAATCTACAACATATCAAAAATTCAGACAATTTGACAGAAACCCAATTTCCATAATATTATTGCGGGGTCCTTTTTATATAATATCAAATGAGCAATAAAGTTTTTTATATAGGTTTTTAAAATTATAAAATAATAATAAAATATGTTTACTCACTATTATTTATCGAATATTGAAACAAAATTTTCTACAAAGGTACTTCTGGAAATAAAATAATTTTCTTCTTCTTTTCTATAGTGTTATTTTCGGTTTCAAATACGACAATGTGAATTTTTGAGGTTATGTTTATGTTAGTGTTTACAATACACCTTTCTGTAGGCGTCTATTAGTTTGAAAATATTTAAAGTTTATTGTGATTTGTGTTCAAATACATACTAGTGTCTACAAGATAATTCAAACTTTAAAATTAAGTGTTATAAAGATAACTAGTGATTATAATAAACCCAACAGGTAAGTTTAAAGTTTAAAATTTTAAAAAATTACATTAAGTAGGCTGTAGTATTAATTGTCAAACATACAAGCAGTCATTTTGTAAAATTTTATTTTATTGTAAAATTGTACTGAGCTCGTAAAAAAATGGATTCTAGGGATTCCGAATGTACGACTCCAGAAATAGCAGAAGCTGCTAAAAACACGTCGCTCAAATTGTTGCCTGCTAAATCCAGAGTAAGGTATCATATTATTAAATGGAGACAAAGGAAACAAATAAAGAGTTCGTTTTCTGAAAATGTTCTACTGGCCTATATGAATGAATTATCATCAAAAGTACAATTAAAGGCATTCTGAAAGAGAAAAAGTGATGGCTATAAACCAAAAAAAGCCAAAGTCCTATCGCAACAAGAAATAAATAATTTCATAGAAACAGCTCCAGATGAATTATATTTATTTACAAAGGTGAGCAAGTTTAATATCTATTATTTTGATAAATGTGTGAGAATTTTTTATTATTTTAGGTTGCACTTATCCTTGGAATATCAGGAGCATGCCGAAAGCAGGAGCTCACACAGTTGACTATAAACGATATAGAGGATTTGGGTACAGCAGCTGTGATAAAAATAGATAACACAAAAAACCAAGTATCCAGAAAATTCACGATTACTGGACCGTTCTATACCATATTTGAAAAATATGCTAATCTTAGGCCACCAACCACTCAACTAAGGTTTTTTCTTAGCTATAAAAATAAAAAATACACCCAACAAGTAGTGGGTATAAACAAAATAGGCACTGTGCCAAAGGTAGTGGCAAAGTTTTTAAATCTTCAAAATCCAAAAGAATATACTGGCCACACCTTTAGGCGTTCTTCTGCAATAATTTTGGTAGATGCAGGAGCAGATCTTGATGTATTAAAGCGCCACGGGGGATGGAAATCCTCTACCGTGGCCGAGCAGTACATAGATGACTCTAACTAATAGATTAATGACTTCTAATAAAATAGTTAACACCATTCGCAGCACAAGCACATTCAACGAAGAAGTTGCATGTAAAAACATTGAACAATACTCTGAACAAAATGCTGAAACTACACAACCCAGATACAGTACAAGTTTGTGTACTTCATCTATACAGCAACAAATTAATGTAGATCCACAAGAGACAATAAACACGTATATTAGGGGAACCACTGAGAATAATAATAATGCAACATTACAAAATCCACTGCAATTTAGTAAATGTTATAATAATTATTCAATTCATACAGTTTAGGTTTAAACATTTCCTAATTATTATATTAGTTATCTCTAGTTTAGTTACAAATATTTTTTATCCATTCCATTAGTTATCTCTACTTTAGATGTAAATTTTTATAAACAATTCTGTTAGTATCTCTGCTTTAGTTATAAATGTTTCTTATTGTTATATTAGTGCTTGTTCTGCTTTAGTTATAAATATTTTTTAAATATTGTATTAGTTCTTGTCATTTCTACTGTTACAAAATTAAAAATATTTTGGAATATTTTTTTACTTTTCAACACATGCGTAATATACTTTTCAGTACATGTGTGATATGGTTTAATTGACTTTCTCATTTAAAAAATCTGATGTGTCCAACACATGACTTTCCTATCTAGTTATTATAGGCTTTTTCCGGTTATTTTGTACAACCTATTGCAGCATCTCTATAAATGTTTAGAGGATAAACTAAATATATACATTGTCCTCATACATCTACCTCGAAACATTTTTCTAAAGATATTCATTGAAAACGAAAATACTGAAAAATTTAAATTTAGCACTTTTCCATTACGGTCCATTTTAGAAAAATCATGTATAAACAAAAATTATAGAGATTGATAACGCAAACAACTTTTAGTTCAACAATTTTCATAAAAATCAGAATTTTGCACATTTTGTCAAATTTCTCGAATACGGACCATTTCAGGAAATTTTGACATAAAGTAAAAATTATAGTATTAGTATTAGAAGTAACTTTTATTTGAACAATTTTCTTCTCCAAACATAAATAACATATTCACGTCAGGCCGAAATAAACCTTAAGTTTAAAATTTAATGTTTTTTTCTTTATCCGTTTTTGAGTTTTCTTCAAAATTCGAAATTTACACATTTTCTCAAATATCTCGAATACGGTCCATTTTAGAGAAATTATGTATAGAATAAAAATTATAGAGAATTATATTACAAACAACTTTTATTTGATCAATTTTTATAAAAAAATATTTTTTTTACATTTTGTCAAATTTCTCGAATATGGACCATTTTAAAAAAAATTTTTATAAAACAAAAGTTATAGATAATTATATTAGAAGTAAGTTTTATTTAAAAAAATTTCTTCTCCAAACGTAAATAACAGATATATTCCATAAAATATAAAAATGAACACCCATTAAGTACCCTCCCAGATGTTCCGACTCTGCCTAAAATCTAACCAGTTCATAAGACGCTGGAATAAAGCTTAAGTTTAAAATTTGGTGTTTTTCTGTGTATCGGTTCATGAGTTATGCGACATACAGACACACATACACACACACACACACACACACACACACACACACACACACACACACACACACACACACACACACACACACACACACACACACACACACACACACACACACACACACACACACACACACACACACACACACACACACACACACTCACACGCACGCGCACACGCACAGCACACGCGCACGCACACGCACATGCCCACGCACCCGCCCACGCGCACGCACACGCGCACACACACACACACACAGACATCATCGCGAAAATAGTCAAAACGGACTCAGGGGACCTCAAAACGTAAAAATCCGTCGAAAACTCGAGGTCGAAAAAAATAATGATTCCTATACTTTCCTTATATCTGTATACAGATAGGAAAGTAAAAAGACGTTTTTTTAAGGATTTTGTATGTAGGAAAAATAGTGTACGCAACTCGTTCGAAAGTGTATTTCTCGCTCTCGTTTAGTTTCCTAACTTGTTATGTAATAAACTATTACCATTCAACTTTTTCGACGACGAAATTACAAGAAAATTATATAATTACATGAATCCCAAACTCATAGTCCCCGGAAGAAACTTATTAGGGTCCTTTAAAATATCCAAATTTGATGAACTAAGAAATGGAGTTTTGTTATTTTCAAAAAATTGTGACACCAAAATATATCTTTTGCTATTGATGAATGGTCTTCGTATGCTCTGAAAGGGTATTTATAGTTGCTGCTTACTTCATCGATAAGAATTGGGAGTTACATTCAATTCTATTAGATTTTGTTCCAGCTAAAGGAAAGCACACGGGGGCTGCAATGTGTCTTTATTCTTCGAAGTTGTAGAGCAATTTGAGATTGCTGATTCCATCCAAGGAATAACTATTGATAACACAAACAGCAATTTTACATTTCTTAATGAGTTATTGGAACTCATTGATCAGTTTGATAATAAAAATAAACATTTTGTATGTTTTGCTCATTTTATTAATATGGCAGCTCGATACTTAATACAGGTATTATATTCTGGCTTCGGTTCTTTGGACAATAGTAATTCTTCCGAAGAAATCAGTGATAACGAAAGTAAACTCAAATCTTACGAGGATTCCAACTCGCCAGTTGGAAAGATAAAAACACTTTGTATTAATATAAAATATTATGAGAAACTTAGGTTGGATTTTCAAACATTTTGAAATCATTAAACCTTAAAATATTAATGCCCAAGTTAAAAGTAAAAACCCGATGGAATTCCACATATGAAATGCTCTCTTGTGCAAATAATCTAAAGAGAGCTCTTATTGTACTTTATGACAATTCTGAGAGTCTTTTGTCCTTACGAATGTTCAATACAGAGTGGGAAATAATTCAAAAACCTTGCAGTTATTTAAAACCATTCAAAACATTATCTACACTATTGGAAGGCGATCAGTACTGTACTCCTCTCCCAATTGTCGTTATAGAAATAAATATGTTGTTGGACAAACTGGAACAATGGGCCTTAGATTTAGATGTTAAAGAACATAGGAATGAAATTGATGAAAATTCATTTCTGCTCTACAATCATCACGCGGCAAACTTGCCAAACATTATAAGCGTACCAACAGGATGCATTGTGTTGTAATATTATTTGATCCACGTCATAAACTAGAAACTTTTTCTTCAAGTTCATGAGGCAAATATTAGCAAGAAGAAGCTATGTTAAAGTTTGAAAATATTTACGAAACACAATATTAAGATATTTTTAACGAAAAGGTCAAGGAAAATCAAAACGAATTATTAATAAAATCAGCCTTCCAAAGCCAATGTAAAGATGCCGAAAATTTTAATATAGATGTACTAGCTTTATTTCAAACATTTTGTAGTAAAAACCCAGACCCACTTGATGAAATTACAAAATATTTATCTGAAGGTAGGGCAAATAGTTCACAAAATGTATTGAATTGGTGAAATAGGCACGAGGCTGTATTTCCAATATTATCTTAAATAGCTACTCGTGGGATCATGTATGAATTCTAAAATCAAAAACCAAAATGCGAAATGCAACAAAAGGCAACAGCGTCAACCTCGAAAGGGGATATGACGAAGGCAACGTCTCTGGCGAAGGCTGAAAAGCAAGCAAAGAGGCGTAAAATCATCGTCTCCTCCCTAGAAGAGGTAGACCAAATGCCCGAGAACGAGGTACACTCTGCCCGTCTAGGTGGACACTCGAGAACGAGACTAAATGAGCTCTTGAAAACTGGCCTTGATTACACAGCCGCAAAAAGGCAGGTGATCAAGGAAAATTTTCAAAGGGCCCAGACAAAGCCCCAGAGCCTAGAGCGTCAAGACAAGGCGAAAGAAGCTGCCAAGCAAGGCACAAAAGCTTAAAAACGCTCAAGGTCGATAGACGCAACACCGCCGCAGGTCAGTCGACTGAGGAAGAAGGCCAGGATGGACGAAGTTTCGTTCAAAGAGGCACTTATCTCAGTGAAGGTTGCAGTGGTAGAAATAGGGTACCCGGAGATCAAGATGAGCCCAGGGAGACTAGGAAAAGTCCAAGACTCGATCTCCGAGGCCAACGACAAAATCCCCACAGCAAGAACACAAGTAAGGTTCGTCAACTGCAGCCACAAGGACTTGCGTGGACCGAACCAGTGCAGACTGGTTGCGGGACATCGTCAGAACCATCCAACTTTGGAAAGGGGCAAACCTAAAAGCGTTGGAGGGTAACGATATTCCTAGGCCACCAGCCTGCACAGCATTCGTCCCCGATGAAAGGTGACAAAGGCCCTAAGGGGATAAATTCCTCAAAATGCTAAAAATAGCCAACCATGGGCTAAACACACCCCTTTGGACGGTGTGGGGTAAAATCCCATCGGCAGAAGGTCAAACTTGGACTTTTTCGATGGATCCTGAATTCTTAGAGGAGCTAAAAAAGCTGGACATAGGGATACTTAAATTCAGAGTCAAAGGAAGACCAAGAATCCGCCGAAAAGGTGAATAACCCAGGCACAAGTAGGGAAGAGGAAACCAAAGAGTCATCTACAGAGGAAGAAACCTTGGCAGAAGACGACGGGATGAAGTCTTCCCACAGCAGGGAAGGGGAGGGCTGTCCCCAGGGATGAGTACTATCAACCCTCCTCTGGCCAGTCCTAGTGGACGAACTCATATAAAGGCTAATATCTGCAGATTTCTACTGCTTAGGGTATGCCGATGACCTGGCGATCGTCGTAACCCAGATAGTACAGGACGTCCTAAGGACGTCCATTGCATGTCCATTTAACGTCTGTACGTCCAGGACCAATTATGGACGTTTTAAGTATGTCCAGTTTAGTAAATCCTCAGGACGTCAAGAAATAGATATCCGCAGAACGTCAATTTTACGTGCTTTGCTATATTTCCATGGATTCGCATTCGCAATGTATTATTATTTGGTTATATTATGTAAAAAACATATATAATAAGATAATATAAATAATTATTAAAGATAACATTGTCCCAATATCCAATTGAATGAAGGCCAAATAGACAAAAACGAAGGTCATTTACAAGAAAGACATTGTTGACAAGTGACATTTTATATTTTATTTATTAAAGATTGAAGCAATGAAGTATTCTCAGGACTAAGGTTTTATTAAAAAAGAAAAAAAAAAAAAAGAAAAAACATGGTGTTGAATGTTCATGATTCGATGGTATACAGGGTGTACCAATAAAAACTCTCAGGCCGGTTATTTTGGTAAGTAATAGAGATATTTTAATTCTGTGAAAGCCAGTTCATAGAGCGCTAGAAGAGCTTCAGTTTCAGATATAAATTAATTTTAAATAGGTTAATATGTAGAGGGCGTTGCGCTCAATATATTTTTTTCGATGGGAAGAACTTACTTATATAGCGCATCTTATAAAAAACGCATTTTAATGCATATTTGGTTTTATAAACTAATTCGATAAATCTAGCCATTTTTGATATACAGAGTGAGTCAGTCAAAACAGTTTCATCCTGTTTTTAGGTATCAATCATTGGATTTTTAGAAAAGATAGAGATATTTTAATTCTGTGAAAGCCAGTTCATAGAGCGCTAGAAGAGCTTCAGTTTTAGATATTAATTTTAAATAGGTTAATATGTAGAGGGCGCTGCGCTCAATATATTTTTTTCGATGGGAAGAACTTTATTATATAGCGCATCTTATAAAAAACGCATTTTAATGCATATTTGGTTCAATAAACTAATTCGATAAATCTAGCCATTTTTGATATACAGAGTGAGTCAGTCAAAACAGTTTCATCCTGTTTTTAGGTATCAATCATTGGATTTTTAGAAAAGATAGAGATATTTTAATTCTGTGAAAGCCAGTTCATAGAGCGCTAGAAGAGCTTCAGTTTTAGATATTAATTAATTTTAAATAGGTTAATATGTAGAGGGCGCTGCGCTCAATATATTTTTTTCGATGGGAAGAACTTTATTATATAGCGCATCTTATAAAAAACGCATTTTAATGCATATTTGGTTCTATAAACTAATTCGATAAATCTAGCCATTTTTGATATACAGAGTGAGTCAGTCAAAACAGTTTCATCCTGTTTTTAGGTATCAATCATTGGATTTTTAGAAAATGCTAAAACAGGTTAATTTTGATTTCAAATTAAACACATTTTTACTATACAGACATCTGTCATGTGTCAACCCCCTGCCTTCTACTTCTCCAACCCCTTAATTTGAAATAAGGAATGTACCATGTATAGCACATCATTGAAAAGGTAATTTTATGGAGAACTTAGAAATATGACCGTTTGTTGCGATACTTTTAATATTAGCGCCCTCTATCGGAATAAAAAAACCTGTAACGTATTATAAAGTGTGACACTTTATTTGAAATCTAAATTAATTACCAATTCAATGCACCACATAACCTTAATATAAATATTTCCATATTGCACTTGCAACAAAATAAATTTAGCAATAATGTTTAAAATAAAGGATGACTAATTTTCAAACTATTGCAAGTGCAATATGGAGGATATTTAATTAATGTTATGTGGTGCATTGAATTAGTAATTAAATTTGCTTTCAAATAAGGTGTCACACTTTATAATGCGTTCAGTTTTTTTACACCATCGAAAAAAAAAAAAAAAAATTGAGCCCAGCGCCATCTACATATTGACCTATTTAAAATCAATTTTAATCTAAAACTGAAGCTTTCTTAGTGCCCTGTGAACTGGCTTTTACAGAATTAAAATATCTCTATTACTTACTAAAATATCCTGCCTGGGAGTTTTTATTGGTACAGGGTGTCACTAACCTTTTAGCTTTGTAGAACTTTGTAGAACTTGTACTCGTATAATATGTATACACCCTGTATACATATTATACGATTACAAGTTCTATCATTCCGCCAGTTGACTGTGATTCGACTCTGTGAGTTTGTGGTTGATGAATATTAATTTTTTGCAGTTTGTGCCATTTTTATGTCTGAGAAAGTTTTCCAGTGAATACTACAAAGCTAAAAGGTTAGTGAATTCATAGTCTAGCAGGGCAAACTTAAACAAACAGATTGGATTTTCATATTGATCTGCCTTTCATTTTGAATAAGCAATTAAATTATTTTCAGGTTCAACAGGAAAATATGGCCAAATCAAGAAAAAACAACTGCTGTCAATCCAGGTATGGTTGAAAACAGTTAAGTAGAGGAGAGACAGGGTGAATTTGATGAAAAAGTTTTAATAATTTTATTATTTATAGGTTATTTGCTTCCAAATAAAACATTTTGAAATTATTCATTATTTTTACTAATTTCCTTACATCCTGTTATTTCCCATTCGAGCTTTTGAAAATGTCCATGGAATGTCCTTAAACGGACGTTCTTAAGACATCCTGATTATTAACAATGGACGTTCCAAAGACGTCTATAAGACGTCCACGTCCGTGAAATTGACGTTTTCTAAACATTGTTGACTAGTGGTACAGAGAGGAGGAACTAACAGTAAACCCTCAGAAAACAGGACTAAAGTCACCAGTACTGAAAGAAGTGAAGATTCCGTTTGCTCGAGAGGCCAAATACTTGGGAGTCATCTTTGACCACAGGTTAACATGGTTAACACTTGTAAAAAGTCACCCAAAAGAGCACAACATCCTTCAACTTATGTCGAAGGTTGTGTGGAAAAAATTGGGGACTACAACAGAAAATGTCCCTATGGTTATATACCAGTCATAAGGCCGATGATACCTACGGGTCGGTGGTATGGTGGCCAAAGACTCGGCAAGCTAGAGCCATTCGATATCTCAATGGTATTTAAATGCAAGCATGTCTGAGTACCACGGGAGCTATGTGAACAACTCCAACAGCAGCTATAGAAGTTATGCTAAACCTAACACCACTACATATATTTATTCAAGGCGAAGCCCAGGTCTGTCACATACAGACTGCACAAATGTTCATCACCCATAAGTAGTTTGCATGGACGCGACTACAGCGAACTATTTAAAGAGTTGGAGAACGAGTAAATAATGGAAATGCCTTCAGATGAAATCCTCCCAAAGTATAACTTTCAAAAACAATATAAAGTAAGTATACCAGACAGCAAAACGTAGACGGGAGGACCTTCTATTCTTTCAGAATTCACCTGGTATACATACAACTCTAAATC